TTTTTTCAAATTTCGCCCTTAAAAAAATATAAAAAAAAAACCAACAAACGAGCTACCAGGCAGGCTCAATGACACGCCACAACCCAAATATCCTAATGATACCTGGATGGCACATGCTGGCCGACACTCAAGGGTGACGAAAGCCATAAATATATAAATACGCAAGAATATAAGAGAACTTAAATGTGAGTGCAACGGAAGGACCAACAATCACAAATCCAAAACAAAAGATGCACAATTATGCCTAGAGTGCACTACAACAAGGAAATACGAGTGCAAATAAGAAATCAAATTACAATTATCATAAAAGAATCATACACGAATGGAAGGTCACAAAGTCACTAGTAGGGAAATGCCTTGACGCTCGGGCTATACTCCTTGTCACTATGTCCTGAGGGGGAGCAAGGTGAGTGGACCATAATTTATATTAATACTAATAATATTCAAAACCTGAATTCTTTATGAACATAATAACCCCTGTTTTGAAAACATATAATATACTACGTATATGTTTTTTCTGAAACTCTAGCATGCAAGAAATGTTCGTAATCATAAAATCATCTCTAAAAATGATATCAAAATGCCCGAAGGCAAATCCATAAATCTCATCAAAACTGCACTCTCTAGAGGTATCATAGTCGCCCGAAGGCAGTACCTGTCCATCACCCGAAGATGAAGCTGTATGACACTGGGTTACGCCAATGAAGAAATATGGTAGGTCCCATCACCCGAAGGTGAAGTACGACATTGGGTTATGCCAAAGAAGAAATATATCTATATATAGCATAACACACAGACACTAGCCATGGCTAGTGAAGCTATCTGACATTGGTTTCACCAGTGAAGTTGGGGGTATAACATAAGTATCCTCAACTGTGTCCTATGACCATAGACTAATACCCTTGATGTGTGTATGTGTCGTATGATAACCTATTATATAATCAATAAAAACATATCTTAAAACTCGTATCAAGCGTTAAAGCTCAAATGCTCAAAGCATCTATTCATAAAATCATAGAAACTTTCTAGCTCAAATCATCATCAAAAACCATGTTCGTAAAATCCATAAGATCTCATAAAGTATAAAAGCAATATCGTAACCTTTCATAAAGTGTGAGTTAAACATTTGATAACGTTTCATAAAACGTAAACTCGATAAATCATAAATGCAGAACTCCATAAAGTAAAGCATCATATAAGACATATTCAAATCCTGAAATACGAAATCCATGCTAGTCCGATAGTTATAAAATATTCAATTTGAGAAGAGGTCCACTCACAAAAACTTCGCTCTTGGGGAGCTACTCGAACTAGGGAAGACTGAATCACTTCCAACTGATGCACCTATACACAAATAGAGACTATTTAATACCACGCTACTAAAATGATGGAATTTAAGAAAATGGATAGCGAATTTGGATTCGGTACGTTGAAAAACCTACGGAGGGACCTCGGGTTCCCCCACGTGCTACCGCTCACGCCGCCACCGGGCAGTGGCCTGGAAGGCCATATGCCGAGTTGGGTCGTCGAAAAAGTCGCCAGTGCCACCGTGGACGACGGCGGAGGTGCATGTACTCCACGCACAGGCATCGATCGTGGAATCTAGGTTTCAGGCTCGGGTCGGGTCAGATCTGGCTCAGGTCTGATGGGTTAAACTGGGTTTGCTGGGTTGGGCCAAAGGTTTTAGGCCGGGTTTAGAGGATTGGGCTTGGGCTAGGGTTACTAGATTGGGCCTAGGTTAAAGGTTTAAAAGGTTAGTGGACTAGGCCGGATGACAAGTTAGATTTGGGTTAAGTTTGGGTTCAAGTTGGGTTGACTCGAAATAGCTCGCGGGTCACTGACCCATCAAATAAGAAAATCGAACTTTTGGCCAGGAAACTCTTGGGCTTTGATTTGGGGTTAAAACTCGACCAAATTTCAACATTTAAACATCAAAACGAAGCTAAACTAATGAGAAACCAAATTATACCAAAGACATAACAAGACAAAGTCGATTAGTGGCCTGAAATGATCTACAACTAGCCGAAACCTCGCCGAAAATATGGAAATAGAAAGTAGAGTGCATGCATGAATACATAGTCCAAAACTCGACTTCAAATCATCACTAGACAAGGTTTAACCCATGAATATAAAGGTTAAACGAGAAATCTCACCTGGGTTTTGAGTTTCGAAGTTTGAAGCTCTCGGGTCCAATGGTGGATCACTCAAATGGTGCTCCAATGGTGCATGCAAGGATGTATTTGAGTTCCTTGAGTCTCAGGGATTCCAAATATGTGATTTTGGGGCTGGGTTTGTAAGAGAATCGAAGTGAGAGCAAGGGTAAAGCTCACAGAGCTTAGAGAGTGAATGAGAGAATTTGAGAGTTAGAGAGAGTGAGTGCGAGAGAGGTGTCGAGCAAGGGGAAGAACGGAGAGATGTGTCACGGGTGAGGGAAAAACAAAAGCTATGGGCCAAGTTTTGGGTTTGAGAGTCCCCAACCCAAAGATTTGGGCCGGAATGACAAAGCCCAACACGAGGGCATAATTGTAATTTGCACCTAGTTTTAGAACAGGTTGTTACACTCAACATGCCCAGGCCGATAGCCAAAAGGCTCTAATTTGGCCTTGTGGAATCCACTTGGTTTTGGCGTAGCCCTCTATTGAAGTTGGGTTTTGTAAAAAAAAAAAGGCTAAAAATTGGCCTGTGGATATTCAAGGTATGATAATATTCAATATATGAATTACAAGAAAGGTATGGCTACACTATAACGTTAACATTTATACTCCAAGGTTACACTAAACAATGCTATTTAAAACTATATTACGTTTGCACTATCAAGATAGGTCATTATACTTGGACAAAATTGTATTACTCTATACGATCATTCGTTTGGATACCTTCCTCCCCCCTCCCCCCCCCCCCCAAAAAAAAAACAAAACCTATTTGAACGATTCTTATGATTTTTTTTTTCTTTGACGTAGACCAAAAGACCCCCATCCTTTCATAATTTAAGAATAACTCATTTGTTTGTGATACTTAAGAAAATTAAACACCTTCTTAAACACACACAAATATTTAGTAAAAAGAAATAGATTCGCATGGATACCTTCCTCCCCCACCCCCCCCAAAAAAAAACCCTATTTGAACGATTCTTATGATTTTTTTTCTTTGACCTAGACCAAAAGACCCCCATCCTTTCATAATTTAAGAATAACTCATTTGTTTGTGATACTTAGGAAAATTAAACATCTTCTTAAACACACACAAATATTTAGTAAAAAGAAATAGGATAAAAGGCATCTATATCTAAACAAGTTTTTCACAAATTGTAATAAAATCTCCTCTATGTGGACATGTCTTTCATCCTTCTCCCAAAAATGATCTCTTTTGTTGAAAGAAGAAAGACATGCCTGCATAAGAATGCTACTCTCTATGACTGTCATATAAGCATATGAAAACGACTATATATTACCAAAAGTTTATAAACCAACATACGTTTTTAAGTTTCCTGAACCAATATTGGTTGTCAAAATAATGTGTTAGTGCAAAATTGGCAATTCTTGATAAAATGCATGAGTCTGTAATAGCTTAGACTTGTTACATATTTTCAATTGTAACTGTTTACGTCTAAGGATGTCTCTCACACTTTCAATCGCAAGGATGTTACGTAAACGAGATACTTATTCAGGTACGTTTGCATGCACGCATCCAACTACATTCATCAGATATCCCATGTTATTGTATTTGGGATAGGACTCTTAACCATCATGTGTTTTATCTCTTTAAGATGAGTTATCCTTTCTACATTTATTATTAAAACACATCTTTTGTTGGTGGGATTTATTTGATTGCATGCTTTAAAATAAACTTATTGTTTATCTGGATGTTGAAATGGTTTTGCCGTTCTTATCTTGTGTGCGGTGATTTTTGTCTATACATGAGAAGTCATGTCTTTGGAGAAAGCATGCATGAATATTTGTTTTGAGCAAGAAAAATAATTTTTATACTGCTGCTATTTTGTGTTTTTGACAGCATGTGGTTTTAAGAAAAAATATTATTTTTCATCCTGCTTTCATTTGAGTTTTTAATTGAATGTCAATTATGAAAATATGTATTGTGATTTTCGTAATTGATTGTTTTTCAACAAACATTTCATCATATATACATTCTGCATGATCAAGTTAGGATATTGCAAAGTTCGAGGGAAGGAGATTGACGACCGCATTAGTGTCGTGTCACTTCAACTCGAAGGTTGAAGAAAGATTGAGTATCAAAGTGCAAAGACAAAGCTGCTAGCTAGTAAGGTTGTCTAGTTGATGAGTTTTTGTAAGTCTTTATATATTCTTTCTTTCTTAGTGCTTCGTGGCTTGGTAGTTCGAGAATTTTCCCAGTGGTAAGTTTTGCCTCATTAAATCCTACATCATGTGCGCACTCTTTATATTGATGCTGAATATTTGTGTAGAATTTAGTTTGCATAACTGGTTAATTTAAATCATAATTTTAATTAGTATTAAGTTGGAATCTATTTACATCTCTAGGTTAAATTAGTATTCATCCTAGGACTTTCATAATGAATTAAAGAATGCGAAAAAAAAAATCAAAATTTAGGTCGCGTTCATACAAAGAACTTCCATATGCTTATGGTGCACAAAGAATTTGATTCTTTGTCACTCTTGAGCAAAATGATATGTGAAACAAACTCATTAATTGGAAAACAAACAAATTAAGGAAAAAAATCACCCTCCAACAACAGCAGGAAAATAGAATTGTTTTGTTTTGTTTTAAAGAAAGTTCCAATTGAGGCAGTTTCTTTTGCATTGGAAAATAACTCAGAGACCTTTCACTACACTAGTGTATCTACTTATTATGTGAGACTGACGATGGTACTACTTGACGCAGCTTAATTAAATGATGAAAATAATAGATAGATAAATATTTCATAAAAAATTAGGAGAGTCACTATTTTTACTTTGATCAACAAGCAAGTTGGGTTACTTCGCTAACAAGATGAGATGTTGCAATGTACATAATTCATCATATCTAGTTTTATTTATTTATTTTGTATACCAAAGACAGTCACATTGTGCTTCATGCGGAATTGAGGATTCTCATTAGCATGACATAAATTTAGCTACACAAGAAATGATGCCAAGCGTTTGAACATTTTCTTAACATTCTCAGTCGTAGTCTCCGTCTGATCAGTCTTGGTCTCGATCCCAAGCGAGACATGAAAGCAATGATCCTCTCCTTCCACTTCAAACAGCTCCAATTCTCCTTTCCACCCGCTTTCCTTCACTAAATCATAATATTGAACACCTCGATCCCTCAGATGATCCTTTCCAGCAACACACACAAGCAGCTTAGAGCACCCTAGTCCAGTAAGGCTCGGTGCACCCTCACCCGCCGGATTCACCATCGGATTGTCTATCCCTCCGGGAGCTGATGGATAAACAAAGTCCCAAACCAAATAAGGTAAAGTTTTTTCAAAGTTTTTACCTTTAGGCTCTGACCCAATTGGCTTGGAACCCCAAAAATAAGGACAGGACAAAAATACCCCCAAAATTTTCACACCACCACACAGGCCCTCAACTCCTGCCTTCATAACTAGGTTATGTGCAATATTTCCACCTGCACTATCACCACCAATGTAAACTCTGTCAAAATCTCCATAGTTGAGTAACCATGTCTCTTTGTTACCATCTGAGGAGCCTTTGTTAATTGAGTGAGAAGCAACCCATTGAAGAGCAGCCCAGCAGTCTTCATAAGCAATAGGAAGTGGGTTCTCTGGGGCAAGTCTGTACTCAACAGAGACAGCTACAACTTTGGCTTCTGAGACCAAGCGGTTGAGATAACGTTGGTGAAGGAATGAGAAGGTAGACGCCATGCAAAAGGCACCACCATGGAAGTAAACCAAGATGGAAAGCTTTTGGGTTTGGTTTTGAGGGAGATTTGGGAGGAAAAGGCGAGCCGAGAATTTGGGGTTGTCTGAGATGGTGATGTCCTTGGAGTAGACGCCAGTTTCTGGATCTTGATCAGGAGATGGGGGCACATATGAAGAATACGGAAAAGGAATGCGCTCCACAGTGCCATCTTCAAAGATTCTGATGAAAGGATAGGACTTAAAGGCTAATTCTTTGGCGATGGAAGCCATTAGAGAAGATGTATAGATAACTAAGATGTGTGAAAATTTACGGTGTGAAGATGCCTATTAATAGAGGTAGCGTTTTCCTTTAACTCATTAAGAAACAGATGAAGACAGATGTCGCGTTTGAAACTTGATGTAATGCAGTACGTAACAGCAAACAAAATAGCAACCATACGTCTTCGTCTAGTCAAGTAACTCTGGTTCTCTCACCCTTGAAACTTTTGCATTTTGTTTTCACGAAATTCATGTTGGAAATTTATATTATAATATGTATTGGATATTATAGTATTTAGTTTCAAAATATTGAATGAAAAAATTAATCTTGTTTGTTCTTAAGTGTTGCATCTGATGCAAATAATTGCATCATATTATTTGTAATTTGGGGCGTGTAGTTTGATGAGTGGTGTAGGTTACATAGATGCAAAGTTGCATCCTTACACCAAACAACACAATGGGTTCTATATAAACTCATGAAAACATTATCATTTGATATATAAAATTAGAGTTAATTTTTACCTTTGAGAAATAGGGTTTCCCCACTCTATTTCTCTCATTCTTCGTTTGTAAAATTCCGAGTCATGTTTTGAGAGTACAGAATATATAAAGTTCGTCAGAGTCTGAATATTAAAGTGCTTCGACTTTGGATTATAGATTGTTAAATCCTGGGAGACGGATTCTTACCAAACTACAAGCACAAGAGTATGGGCAAAATTCTGTCTTTAGGACATTACATTTATGCAAGCCTTAATCTCCAAGTTTGTCAATTTTTCTAACTTTATCTCTAATTATTTATATTAATCTCATATATAATTGATGTTGTAAATTTCTTTATGATTATTATCATTGAAATTATATTGTTGTTTGTCATATTTTATAATATTGCTCCAACAATTCACACTCGAAAAAAGTCATCACACACTGTTGTCATACTCATCAAACCAAATAGATAAGTGATCGATTACACCATCACAGAATTTATTAGGCATTTTAAGCATAGTTGCGTGATGGATTGGTGATGAGTTTGTTGTTGGAAACCATCCTTATAAAATAAAGATAGTGCACCAAGAATTTGATTTATTTCACATATAAGTAATTGTGCGAAAAGAAAATGAACTTAGATTCTTTGCCACTCTTACTTTAACAAGCTAAAGAATTGAGTGAACTGATTTGTTAAACAAACTCATTAAATTAGAAAACTAAGAAATAATGGAAAATACCCACCGTCCAACAACAGCAAGCGAATAAAAATGGTTTGCTTTTATGAAAAATTCGATTTGGGGTACTGTCTTTTGCAGTGGAAGATTACTCAAACACGTTTAACTGAAGTAGTGTATTTGCTTGTCATGTAAAACTAACGATTCGGAATAAACCGGCTATGGTACCACTTGAAGCAGCTCGATTAAATGACAGAAAGAAATGAAATATTGAATAACAAGGGTAATAAAAATATGGAGAAATTAGGTTCTCATCCTTCTTTTTACTACTTCATTGATTAAAATCATATTCCTTTTCAATTTTTGATCAAGGTCATTGGGTATTAATAACATCATTAATTATTTTAATAATAAAATATTTTTTTATTTCTAAATATATTCATTTAATGTTAAAAATGTTACAATTAGTATATTTATATTTATGACTAAATTTTTTATCACATATTTTTAGTTTTAGTTTGTACCCATTTTTAATTTGTAATTTTTTTTTTCAATTTGTACCAATTTTCTTTTCAATTTTAATTTGTACCCATATATTAATTTCTTTTTGTGCCCATATTTTTTAAAGTTTATTTGTATTTGTACCCATATATTTTTTTATTTGTACTTTTTATTTTGCTAAATGTACCCATACTAATTATATGTGCCCATTCATGTAAAACTTTTTAATCTTAAAATGTACTCATTCTTAAATATACCAATTTGTTATATGTAAAATGTACCATTTTTTTAATATAAAATCTATTCAATTTTTTTTCTAATCCATTTTTAAACCTATATGGGTACATTCTTTTTTCTTTGATTTTAAAATGTATCCATGTCAAGTTTAATCGAAGAAATTTACTAATGTTATTAAGCCTAATATCTTTTTTTTTTTTTTTGTGATTTTGAAGAATGTACCCATGTTTTGATATAATAATTTTTTTGGTTAATTTTGATGAATGTACCCATGTTTATATACACACACACACACACAATAGTATATTTATATTTTAATATTTTTAATCCCACAAATTATGATTTTTTATTTAAAATCTCATTTATATAAACAACTAAAATTTCTAATTTTTAATTTAAAAAATATAGTAACGTACATAGAAATAAATTATCCATTAATTTCAGGGATCTCGATCAAAAATAAAAAAACAATAAGGTTTCAATCAAAGAATATTCATAACTAAGGACCGCATCCAAAGTCTCCCTAAAAATATTTATAATTAGCAATGCTGATTCAGCAGTTAGGATTGAAAGAAATTGCTCACTTCAGTAATATTTCATAAGGAGTTAGGAGAGTACACCATAATTAGGTCACTTTTTATTTTACTTTGATCTACAAAGGCAGTTGGGATACTTCATGCATTCTAAGAGCAAGTCCACCCCCAAGGAATTTGTGCCAGCACCCAGCGCATTTATCCACTCAAGTGAACAGTAATAGACTCCATTGAACAATAATAGGCCAAAGCATCTCCACCCTTAACAAAAAATAACCTAGTCCATTTTATTAAAATATTAATTTTTTATTATAAAATAATAATTTTATTGTTAATTTTTTAATTTATAAAAAATAAAATAATAATAATAATAATATCTAAATTTATTAAAAAGTTTATGTATTTTTTAAAAGCTAAATTCTTAATTTTTGGGGGGGAAAAAACGTGGACCGTTGATCTGTAATCGAATGGTCCAGTTTAAAAGTGAAATTCAATTTTTTTTTACCGTTGAAAATCCAACGGTCTAGAATAACTAACCGTTGGAAATCCAACGGCTGCAAGTGGGCCATGTCGTCAAGCCCGGGTTGTGGTCTGAGTGCGCTTGCACGCGGGCCCCGCCGCCTAATTTCTTGTCTCTTACTCGCGCCCACGTGAGCTTGAAGGCCACACACCAGTGCAAAAAAGCAAACAGGCCAGTCCCTTGGTCAGTTAAAAATGGGCTGGGCTAGAGACTGGCATGGGCTGGGTGCCAGTCAATTGGGTCGGCTGGAGGGGATTCACTGGGTCCTGGCCTATTTTTTCGGCTGGGTGCTGGGCAAAAAGTCCTCTGGTGGACTTGCTCTAACAAGATACAATGTATAAATTCAAATTTAATTTTATTTATTTATTTGCCAAACAAAGTACAGTCAATCTCTACTTCATGAAGAAACTTATCAGCATGATATAAAATTGACAAGAAAAGAAGCCATGCATATGCTCCATGAGGAAACTTATTAGCATGATATAAAATTAACTAGACAAGAAAAGAACCCCAAGCGTTTGAACACCTTCTTAACATTCTCACTATCAGGATCAATCTCAGGTTGGATATGAAATGAAAGCAATGATCCTCTCCTTCCATTTCAAACAGCTCCATTTCTCCTTTCCACCCGCTCTCCTTCACCAAATCATAATACCAAACACCTTGATCCCTCAGCTTATCCTTTCTAGCAACACACACGAGCAGCCGAGAGCACGCAAGCCCAGCCAGGATCAGTGCACCCTCACCCACTGGATTCACCATTGGATTATCAATCCGTCCATGAGCTGATGGATAAACAAAGTCCCAAAATTTACAAATCGGATTCTTCGCAAAATCTTCACCTTTGGGTTCTGACCCAATTGGCTTGGAACTCTAAAAAAATGGGTGGCCCAAATATGCATCCAAAATTTTGACACCATCACACAAGCTTTCAACACCTGCCCTCATAGCCAAGTTATGTCCAATATTTCCACCTGCACTGTCACTACCAGGGGCGGATCTATTAAGGGACCAGGGTGGTCTCGGGACCACCCGAAGCTCGAAAAAATGGCTGTGAGGATCTTCAAGGACCACCCAAGTCTGGGCAGTGATGGAGAAGAACAGCAGCCATGGTTGCCGCAAGCTGTGCGTTTCAGGAGGAGGAAAAAGAAAGCCAATTTTTTTTTTTCAAAATGACTTGGCAAAAACGACGTCGTTTTGAGCCAGGTCATTCAAAAATTTTAAAATCTTACTCACGTGAGAACCCTCACACTCACAACAATCAACTCCTTCAGTAATATAACCTTCACTTTACCAAATCTGTAACCCTTCTGCGTTTTTTCTCCTTGTGAAGCTCTGATCTGGACTCTGGAGGCTAGCCGCCGCTGCCCTGCCCATTGGTCGTCTTCTTCTTGGTCGAAGAGGTTTGTATTTGTACTCTCTTTGACTCTGTGACTCTCCATTAAATAATTTTGCCAGCCACTGTAGTCTGCTGATAGTGTTAGTATATATATGAATGTGTAGCTATAGGGCTGGGCTGGACCCGTTGAGAGGAAGGAGAAAGAATGAGAGGAGGGTTTTGGTAATTTCGGAAGTGGAGCAGCAGCAGAGTATGGTAACGATTTGGGGGTCGATTCGCGAGGCGTCGTTTGGGGAAAACAAGATTTTGAAGCCAGAGACAGCCACATGTAAATTTTGCTTCTTTATTTCTTAGCTCAAATGGGATAGCTTTGTTTTTTCTATTCTTGTTTGCTGTTTGCATCTAAATTATTTTTAATTTAATTATTTTGATTTGAAATATTGAAGATTAGCTCTGTTTTGTCAGTATTTTTTTGCCTAATGTTGATATGAAATTTGATTTTAAATATTGAAGATTAGCTCTGTTTTGAAGATTAGCTTTACTGGTTTTCTTCCAGATTTTTACCCTTGAAAAAGTTTTTAGCTTTGGCTTTTGGGCCACACTGTCAAAGTCATCTGCTTTTCATGTTTCCTAAATTTTCATCGGCTTCATTGTAAAGCTGATTTATTGCTTTTAGCTTAACTAGACAGTGAAAGAATAAGAAGATATACTTGAGCAGATATCATATAGATTAT